TATTATGTTGTTACCTCGAAAAAAACAAAGTGGTAGTATTATACCTCAAAATAACACCCTGTACATACTGTTTATACAATGCGTAATATTACAAAAAGGCGTGATATCTGTACAAAATTACCTTTTTTAAAAAAAAGGTAAAGAAAGGCGCCAAGTACACGCATAGTAGTGTATATGTTGTTACCTCGAAAAAAAAACAGTGGTACTATTATACCTCAAAAAAATCTAAGTAACAAGTGGTAGACGTAATCTTTGTATTTCGAAAAATCTCGAAAAAACCTAAGCAGTAGTATCTTTACCTAAAAAAAACCGAAGTAACAAGTGGTAGACGTAATCTTTGTATGTATCTCGAAAAATCTCGAAAAAACCTAAGCAGTAGTATCTTTACCTCGAAAAAACCGAAGTAACAAGTGGTAGACGTAATCTTTGTATCTCGAAAAATCTCGAAAAAAACTAAACAGTAGTATTTTTATTTCCAAATATGTTGTTACCTCGAAAAAAAAAACAGTGGTAGACGTGGTAGTATTATACCTCAAAAAAATCTAAGTAACAAGTGGTAGACGTAATCTTTGTATCTTGAAAAATCTCGAAAAAACCTAAACAGTAGTATTTTTATTTCCAAAAAATTATTACTCAAGTGATACACATCACAAAATTACGTTGCCTTATCAAAAATGAGTCGCGCTTCAAGTGATCTATTATTTTACAATTACAAAAAAGAAATGATATCACTTTTTAAATTACAGCGCCAATTACAGAGAACATACACTGAGAAAAAAAATGTGTCAATCCCAAGAAATATTTAGTCCGATACGTTTAGCTAAACATTTTAGTTAGTTAACTAAACATTAGTTGAATTAATTAATTCTTGATTAAAGAAACGAAATAGATTGTTGAAACAATTAATATTTACTTAACTAACTAAAATGTTTAGTTGAACGTATCGAACTAAATATTTCTTGGAATTAACAATTTTTTTTCTCAGTGTATTTTTCGAGATACAAAGATTACCTCTACCACTTGTTACTTAGGTTTTTTTGAGGTACAATATTACCACTGCTTTTCTTCGATTAGAATAAAAGATTGAATCATGAAGAATTACACAGAGGTAACAGTACAAAATACAAATATTTTATTAAAATATTTAAACCCAACAAGGAAATACAAGATATTTAAATACAAAGTTTATATATGTATTTTAAAAGATTTAATCGCATCGCAAAGAATTACAGAGGTAACAGTACAAAATACAAATATTTTATTAAAATATTTAAACCCAACAAGGAAATACAAGGTATTTAAATACAAAGTTTATATATGTATTTTAAAAGATTTAATCGCATCGCAAAGAATTACAGAGGTAACAGTACAAAAAATAAAAATATTTTATTAAAATACATAAATTTTTCTTGTCAAAAAACTTGGCGCTGCTAGAGAGAGAAAGAGATATATATATACTTAATCATAAGCCGCATTATTCGAGAGAGAAAGAGACCTTTTACAAATGTAAATATTACTTATTCTATACTTATTCTATACTTAATTCTAATCGCTTTAAAAATATAAACTTATCCTAACTTATTCTATACTTAATCATAAGCCGTCATTCACCGTCACACACACACACACACACACAC